ATAACTTCACAAGTCACTGTTGTGATTGAGCAATTCCAGCTTCGAGTGAACAGTCTTGATAAACCCATCATCATCGTGTGCCTTGGAGTTTTCTGGAGCATCTTCTTGGACAGCTCTCCTGGTGCTGCTTTCTCTTCTGCCATTTGTCAGTTTGAAGGAAAGTGCTCAGTACACAGGCCTTGTTTGTCTGCTGGTGGTTACTTTTGGAAGTCTGTGTGCAAGAAATAGTTGGTAAATAGTTGCTAATCTAGGTTGTGTCCCTTTGGTGTCTGAATTTAAATTTGGAGGGCTGAAAACTGCAGAACCTAAAGAATGGTCTGGGTCATCATTTGGGTCCAGACTAGTGAGTTGTACATAGGTTGTATATTCTCTGTATGTTCCTACAATGAAGCATTAATGAAGTAAGTGGGCAGACACCTCTGTCTTTTAATTTCTTCTAGCAACCTTTGGAAACATCAAAAATTACTGTCAATTGACCTTGATAAAGTGGCACTGCCCAGTTTCCGACAGAACCGACCCCAAGTGAGACCATTGTCCCCTGGAGAAAGTGGAGCATGGGACATTCCTGGAGGTAAATATTGAAAAATATTTAAGTTGCTGTTTTGGTTTTGCTTTTTGCATAAGCTGTGAAAAAAAAACCCAAAACCCAGTGAACCCTGTGCAGCCATTTGAGAGGCCACTGTTTATTTTCCGTTGTGAAAAACATGCTTACAATAGCATGGCTGTGTTATTAAAGGCTGTCTGATGAAGATTTTTTTTTTATATTCAATAGAAAGTGTGCATGACATACTGGGAGGAAGATCTTGGTGGGTGCATTTTGATAGTTGATGTTTGTTTGGATGCTGTTCAGTCTGATGGGTCAGCAGCAGCCCCTGTCCTTGGGAGCAGTGGGAACATACCCACTGCTAATTAAAATTCCTTCTGTGAGTGCACAAAGGCAGAATCCAGAAGAGTTTGTCAGAATGGTGCCTTGGGCAAGCTGTTACACTAACAAATAATGTCTAGCACTCAGAACAGCTTTCAGGTGGGCAGCTCTTCTTCACAAGATTGGCATTGCAGGCTGAGCTGGAGGCAGTTGGAAAGCCTCATATGTGCTCTTTTCCCAGTCTGAGCTGCTAGACCAGAGACACCTGTAGAAATGAAGGGTTTGTTTCTCTAGCTCATCCTCACTGTATGCACAGTCTCTGGAGCAAGCAAGCATGAAATCACTTTCCTCGTTCCATCAGGATCTGAATTACAGCAATTACTTAGTAGTAAGATTATGGTCAAGTGTCTCCATCTCTCTTCTAATGCAAAACAGAAGACTCTTGTTGCAGGGGAAATCTGGGCTATGCTTTCATGTGCCCAAATAGGTCAAGGTGGAAATGTTGGTGCTTTCCTGTAACTTTAGCATCCCCTCTGATTTTCACTAATCGGTCTGCAGCTGTTAATCTTCCTGTCTGAAGTGTAATCTGATTAATGGCTGCCTGGGCTTTGAACAAGAGTTAGGGGCAGATCCTTCTGCTAGATGGCATTAGCAGCACAAAGCCATCGTGGCTCACGTGGTCACTGCTGCCTTGCAAACCTCTTTGCCTCTCTAGGTATAATGCCGGGCCGGTACAACCAGGACGTGGGACAGACCATTCCTGTCTTTGCCTTTCTCGGTGCCATGGTGGTCCTGGCCTTCTTCGTGGTGCAGATCAACAAAGCCAAGAGCAGGCCAAAGAGACGGAAACCGCGCGTGAAGCGGCCGCAGCTGGTGCAGCAGGTTCATCCACCAAAGACACCTTCAGTGTGAAACTCTGCCTTGCCAAAGATGACCTCCTGTGGCTGCTCGCTCCCAGTGGAGGTGCACCTGACATCATCTCAAAGTCTTTGGTTTGTGGAGAGAAAAAAAGAACCTCAGCTGATCATCTGTACATAAAACTGCAGCTTTAAGCAGCTAAAGCCACCAAAGACTTGAATAGTGTTGAAATGGCTGCTTAGTCACTACATATCCCAAGAGGGGGAAAATGGACCTTTTTTTTAAGCTGACCAAACTAAAATTTATTTGTTTAGAGGCTATTTTCTATATTTATTGTTGGGGAGGGCGGGGGAAAAGTCACTTTAAGGACCTCTGCTAAGGAAAAACAAGTGCATTTTTTTGGATGGAATGCAATTTTCTAGAATGGTTCTATGCTGAAGAGCATAATGTGCACCATTAAAGGAGGAAGGGACTGAGAGAGACCAGTACAAATCAGTGAGGCATACTCCTGCAGTTTATTTTTATAAAGCCAACTACCATGATGTTTTGTAATTTTTGGTCACGATTTCACCGTTGTTGGTGAAGCAGATTTTTCAATAAATATGTTATCTATATGAAGCAAAGACAGCTTGCTAAGTGGCTCTTCTTTCCACTTGCAGTCAAAGAGAGCAAATAGCTGGGTAGTGAAGATTTTCATGTCACCTCTCTTCCCACTATATCTTTGTCCTTACCAGTGGTATCCCAAGTTGCAGGCTTTCTTTTGGAGCACTAACTGGGCAGTCACACAAACAGTGCTTGCTCTGAGTGAGCACAGAGTTCTGGAAACCTTCAAAACTCTGCAGCACATAAGGAGAGAGCTCTCGAAGAGCTGTACACAAAACTGTCATGGGAATGGCACCTAACAGCACTGTCTGGTGTCACAGAGATGAAAACCCAGTCTCCTTTGGTTTGTCCTGCTTGAAAGCCTGTGAATTGTCACTGGCTTAAATAAGGATGCAGGCACAAGTTTCCCCATCTGTGCAGTGCCAGTTAATGTTGCCATAATTGAAATAGGTTCTCTCTTTTCCTAGTGAAGCTGTCAGCTTCTCCCTGCCAACTGCTTTCATCATTGCTCCAGATGAGCACCTTTTCCTAGGAGCCAGGAGCTGGTGGCTGCTGTATTTGTGAATGGAATGGCAGCCTGGGCAGGTAAGCAGTGTGCTCTGGTGAATGTTCCTGGGTGAGTTTGTGGGCAGCTCTGGGCATGGCTGGAGAAGGAGGAGGCAGGGACAGCCCTGCTGGGCAGTCTGACTGCACCCATCCTCCTAGGGCTTACCAGCAGGGATGGGGGTGGGCTGTGGGAAGTGCACTGCAGGAGAGATATTTGCTCCATTTAGTCGTAGAGCCTTGGATAGGGTTTGTGAGTGTCCTGCAAAAAGATTGGGCAAACCAGTTTTCCCTAACTTGAAGAGTGGTTGCCTTTTTCCAGCACTTCTCTTCTGGAGGATGCACTGGGAGAGGCAACGTTCTGTTGCCATGGCAGAGAGGGCACTGAGCTTTTGCTTTGGAGCTGTAAGTGGAAGCTTGTTAGGGCTGAGGAGATGGTCCCAAGGCTGGGCTGTTTGTGCCATCCCAGAGGAGCCTCTTGCTCCTCCCTTTCTGAACACAGATCCATAATGATAGGGAGAGGGTTTTCAGCATCTCAGCTGTGACATATGGGTGAGGACCATCACAGGACCAGCCAGCAGCAGCCGTGCAACTTGTCCAGGTTATAAAAATCAGTAAAGGTGTGAAATCTCAAGGGCAAACCCTCAGAAGGGATGGCAGGTAGCAAAGCATAATTGTGATCAGTGTTTTTATTTGTATGAAACAAGGACTGTCCATTTGCATTTTTGTACCTTCTACAGTCGTCAAAGACAATAATGTGGAAAACACTAACAGCCCTTTTTCCACCTGCCACAGGGACCCAGCAGCAGGTACAGCTGCCAACCCACAGGGACCCTCAGGTTATGTCTTGCAGCCCAGGGGCTGGAGCACCCAGATAAATGTGAGAAAGGGAGGGAGCCCAGAGCCACTGAGCAAAGAAGCTGTCTGGGGCTGCTGTGTTGGTGTGGCAGATGAGCTGCACTTCTCTGGTTTGAGCTGCACCTCTTCCATCAGAGGGAGACTGGAAAGCTTTGGTGCCATTTCGCAGGTCGATGCTAATGAGGAGACTTGCTCCTCATCACAGCACTAATGAGAGATTAGAGCTCCACTGCAGCCTTGAAACCAGAATCAAGCTGTATCAAAGCACCAGTCCGAATTAAGAGCCTTTCCCAGTGGCTGGTATTTTACAGCCCAGTGGCCAATTTCTAAGTCATAGAGGCCAATTATTTCCGAAGCCTTTGGTGTGCAGCTAATGAAGGCTTGGAAGGGCCCTTCTAAGTGTTTATAAGCCCTGTAGGCGGCAGAGATGTAATGGAGGTGGCAGGCACAATTAGCCATCCATAATTCCTCCTAGCAGCTGCTTAAAGTCTCTTTATCCGTCTTACCAAGATCAGAAGGGCACATGTTTGGGAAATCAAAAATGCATTAGGGGCTGTCAGCCAAGGCCAGGGCCTGTGTGCTGAGCCCTGGGGCAGTGGCATGTGGCAGGACTGGCACAGAGCTGCTGTGTGTCTCCCGTGTGGGGAATGGGCGCCTCATTCCTGTGGGGTGAAACCTTCTCCGTGCAGGTCCTCTGCAGCATCAGTCACCCCATCCTGTTATCCTGGCATCCCCTTGGCCTGTGTGCAGCAAGCAGCGGGATGGGATGGCTCCTCTCCAGAGTGTCCCAGTGCAGGAAAGCACCAGTGGCCTTTTAGGTGTTTGGGAGACATGCAGGGGTGCTGGCCTCATCCTGCACCCAGCGCGTTGTGAGGGGTGTGAGCTGCAGCTGCCTTCCTTCACCCTTCCCGGGGCACTCCCTAATGCCCTTTGGTGGCAGTTTCATGCCTGGGTGAACAGAGCGGGATGAGGGTGGCTTCAGTCCGCCCAGCCCTGTGGTGATGATTTCGGGGATAGTGAGAGCACGAGGTAGGCTGTGCTCCGTCGGAGCGCTCTGAGGGCCGGGGTGCCGCACGGGGCTGTGAGCGGGCCGGGGCTGTGAGGGGGACGGGGCTGTCCGCGGCTGGGCTCCTGCCAGTGCCTCCCCCGCCGCCTCCCGCCCGGCCCCCGGCGCCCCCTCCCCAGCCCCGCGGGGGCGGGGGGTCCGCGCAGCCCCGCGCCGCCCCCGCGGGGCCCTGCGGAGGGGCCGCGCTCGGGCCACAGCCCTGCCGCGATGGAGCGGGCGGCGGGCGAGGGCCGGCCCCTGCTGCCGGCGGCGGGGCGCTCCGCCGGGCTCTCCTCCGCCGGCGCCGTCTTCATCCTGCTCAAGTCTGCGCTGGGCGCGGGGCTGCTGAGCTTCCCCTGGGCCTTCGGCAGGGCCGGCGGGGCCGTTCCCGCCCTCCTGGTGGAGCTGGTAAGGGGGACTCGGGGGCAGGGGCTGCGGCAGCCCAGGCGGGAGCCGAGGGGCGCCGCTCCGGGGAGGGAGGGGACGCACCTGCTCTGGTGCTCGGGGAGCTGCGGGCACCCCCTCCGTGCGGCACCCCCGTCCCGACCCCCGCCACATCCTTAGGGTGGTGTTGCGGTGCCACCTGAGGGATGCTCTCTGCAGCTGAAGCCACACTTGTAGCTGGCTTGTAGCTGAATTCAAAGTAAGTGGGTGTCTGCTCCCGTACATGCCCCAAAATCCCAAATCTAAACCCGAAGTACCACCGTGTCTCCATCTTTTGCTGACCTTTGTTACCCAGGCCCACAAGGTGATCTGGCCGGTGACCTGGTCCCTGGCCATGGGCCTGCTGTGTCCTGCCCTGCTCTGGGGGTGATGGAGGGGATGTGGCGCTCCTTGCTGGCTCTGTCCCCGCAGGGCTCGCTGGTGTTCCTGGTGAGCGGGCTGGCCGTGCTGGGCTATGCCGCGGCCCTCAGCGCCCAGCCCACCTACCAGGGCGTGGTGCGGGCCGTGTGCGGGGCGGCCGTGGGGAAGCTCTGCGAGGTCTGCTTCCTCCTCAACCTCTTCATGATCTCCGTGGCCCTCCTCAGGGTGGTGGGCGACCAGCTGGAGAAACGTGAGTTGTTTCCTTTCACTGTATTTGGGGCTTGCTTGGGGAGTGGGGGGAAGGTGGTCCCACGTGGGCTGGGGTCACCCCCACGGTTTTCCTGGAAATTCTAAAGACATGGGGCTCCCTGGTTCTGCCATGGTGTGATGCTCCCGACCTCCTTGGGCCATCTTTCAGGGTGCAGCTGACCCCCCACTGCCCCCCACAGTGTGTGACTCCCTGTACCCCAACGGGACACTGAGTGGGGCCCCTCAGCTGCCCCCCTGGTACGTGGACCAGCGCTTCACCCTCTCAGCTCTCTGTGTCCTCGTCATCTTCCCACTCTCTGTCCCCAGGGAGATTGGCTTCCAGAAGTACTCCAGGTACCACCTGGGCTATCCCTGTGGTGGCCCACCCCTAGGCACCCTGTACCCCAGGTTACCTCCTCCCAGGAACCTGTGGGAACCCCCCTCCTCCCTTCCTCCTGGCTGTGTGCTGATGCTCTCCCATATCCTGACAGCATCCTGGGCACGCTGGCTGCCTGCTACCTCACTCTGGTTGTCATCCTGAAATACTACCTGCAGGCAGAGAGCCTGCGTTTGACTGAGCCACCCCAGCCCTCCAGGTAGGAGGGTCAGCCCCATGTCCCTCCTGCCCTGAGCTCCATGGCCTGAGCAGTGACATGGGGGCAGGGCTGGAGGTGGGGCAGGAATAGCATTGGGCCCTGTGTGTGGTGGGGGTGAGCTGTGGGCAACTCACAGTGGGTGGTAGCTCCCAGCCCCAGGTTTCATGACAGCAATACCCCTTTCTCCCAGAATCACTGGGAAAGAGATTCCCACAGGGTGCAATCCAGTCCGCCCAGTTTATGGCATGAAGGTTTCTTCTCCATGAGAGCCTCATGCCTTTTGTTCTGTGCTTCCTCTCCACATGCCACAGGTCCTCGTCCTGGACGTCCATCTTCAGTGTCATTCCCACCATCTGCTTTGGCTTCCAGGTAGGTCATCCTGACTCCTCTGGCTGCAGCTGGCAGGGCAGTGCTGGCAGCCCCCCATGGCATCCCAGACCATAGGGATGCCAACCCTTGAAGGGCAGGTTGCTGTCACCAGAGGTGCTGTGGGGCAGGACACAAGTGCTGGGAATGGGGCAGAGTGGGACAGGGCACCCACTGTGAGACAGGATGCTGGGGGTGGGGGCTGTCCCTGCATGGGGCCCCAGCACCATCCCCTTGCCTTGCAGTGCCACGAGGCATGTGTGGCCATCTACAGCAGCATGCGCAACCAGAGCTTCTCCCACTGGGTCACCGTCTCTGTGCTCTCCATGCTCATTTGCCTGCTCATCTACTCCCTCACTGGTAACCCCAGCACCAAACCCTTCACTCCTTGTCCTGGGGTTCCCCTCTCCCCTTGGCTCATCCCTTCTCCTCAGAATTCCTCTGTCCTGCTCACTGCACAGCCGCCCACCCCCACTCCCTGTCAGCAGGGCTCTATGGCTACCTGACCTTCGGCGAGGCCGTGGCGTCCGATGTCCTGATGTCCTACCCAGGGAATGACCCGCTTGTCATCGTCGCTCGCCTGCTCTTTGGTGTCTCCATTGTCACCATCTACCCCATTGTGGTGCTGCTGGGCAGGTGAGGGGAGGGTGACAAGCTGGGTGTCCCCCGAGCCAGTGCAGCTCCCCTGGGTGCCATCAGCCCCTCAATCCTCCCTCCCAGGTCCGTGGTGAAGGACCTGTGGGCAGCCCCGAAGCGCGGGGCCGTGGCGGTGTCTGAGGCACGCGAGCGGCGGGGCCGGGTGGCACTGACGGTCACCTGGATGGCTGCCACGCTGGGCATCGCCCTCTTTGTCCCTGACATCGGCAAAGTCATCGAGCTCATTGGGGGCATCAGCGCCTTCTTCATCTTCATCTTCCCAGGCAAGAGCAGGCACGGGGAGGGAGGAAAGCAGTGGGGGGACACTGGTGCCAAGGGCATTGCTGCAGGGGAAGTGGCCTGTCCTGGCCCTGTTTTGGGGGTGCGGGGCTGTGCTTAGGGGGGACAGTGCAGTGAGGGGTGCTGTGTTGGGGCTGAGCTTCTGCACTGACAGCAGGGCTGTGCCTCGTGTGCCTGACTGGGACCCGCAGCCTCGGGCCACGCAAAAAGTGAGTGTCTGCATGCTTGGTGGTGGGGATAAGGGAAGGGACAGGGATAGGGTGTGGTGTCCCATGGGCCGTGGCCAAGGCAGACCCCTGGGCAGTTCCCAGGTGGGAACCCTGCAAGGAGGAGAATTTGGGTGTGGAGGGAAGTGCTCTGGGAATGCCCCTGGATGCCAGGGCTGTGTCCACGCATCAAGGAGGTGCCCAGATACCAGAGTGACTTTAGGGCCAGAAGAGCTGTGGGGTTTGGTGGCACTGGGACACCCGGTGGGGACTGGGGTGGGGTCAAGTTGGGGGTCAGTAGGGTGCCCCAAGACAGGAGGCCATCAGGTGTTCAGTGTCTGTTGTGCCTGGGCAGTGTGTCCCATCACTGCTCCTGTCTGGAGGGGCTGGGGCACAGCAGCCCATGTCAGGGGGACCTGACATGGTGCTGGTGAGTTTGGGATAAGTGTGAACTTTAGCGTGTCTGTGGTGCCCCTGGGGGAGCAGCAGACTTTGAGGGAGGATGGAGGTTATGTGGTGAGTGGAGGCAGCACTCCAGGACATTGGGGTCTTGGTCAGGAGAGTGCTCTGGGGACCCATGAACATCTGGGGAGGGGTGAGGGTGTCCCAAGGGTGCCAAAGTGCTGGAGGGGCCAAGGCAGAAGGTCAGCAGGGCCACCCAGGTGGGTGACAAAGCTTGGGGAGGGCCCTTGGGGAGACCTGCCCGAGCACGAGCCCATCATGAGGAGAGGGGACAACATGAGCTGGGGCGATGGAGACTGCGAGGGGACAGTCCCAGCCTGCCCAGGACAGTCTGGGAAGGAGCACGGTGCTGAGGACCCTGCAGCAGAGCAGCAGCTGGTTTGGGGTGAGTGCTGCATGCAGGGGCTTGGTCTGGGGCAAGGTGGGCTGTGTGCCCGGGGAGGAGGGACCAGGGAGGTGCAGACTCAGGGCTCTGGGGAGGGGACAGGGCTGGAAGCACGTGGGGACAGGATGGAGCTGGGGCTCTGTGGAAGGGGCTGTGTCCAAGCACAGGGTGGGGGATGTGTGTCTCTGCTCTGTCAGCAGGGCCACTGGGCACAGCAGAATTGGGAATGATCGCGTGGTGGCATCTGCTGGCTTTTTGACCGAGGTTTGTGTGTCATTGCAGTGGGCAGGGGCTGCCAGGCTCTTCTGCCATCGACGGGGAGCAGGGCAGAGGAGGCTGAGCCTGCAGGGAGCCGCACAGCCAGAGGAGCTGGGGTACAGGGGTGGCCGTCACTGAGGTCAGCTCTACCCCGGCAGCCTCTGCTCGTGTCGCTGCAGGGCTGCTCTCATCGCCTGGGGCGTTCTCTCCGTGCTCGGCGGTGCCTTTGTCTGCGGGCAGAGCGCTGCCCTGGCCGTGCTGGGGCTGCTGCGCTGAGGGACCTCAGAGCCCCCTGTGACCCCACCGTGACCCCCAGCGTCCTGCCCCGCACAGAGACCCCAACACAGCCACACCACTGGATCCCATGGCGGTTTTATTTGGCATCACCGTCCCCGTTGCACAGTGGCTAATAAAGACAGGAGAGGGAATTGGCAAAGGTCCTGTGCCACACACGCTGAGGGACCCCCACGCACGGCGGGGTGGGTGTGGGATTGGCACAGACGGACAGACACACAAAGTACAGACCCCAGGAGGGAGGGGAGGCAGCCACTCTCACGCCTACAAGGCACCAGCTGCAACTGTGCACATGCAAAGGAAACCCCTGGGGACCCCCCACAGCTGGAAAGGATTAAGGGGCACCTAGGGAGAAGGGAAACCCCCCCTCTGCCACCACCCTGACTCCCCCTGGGGCATGGGTCCCCATCCCTGCAGGCACACACACACACCAGGCACAGCCTCAACCCCCCAGTCTCCTCCTGGGGTGGCCTCTGGGGACTTGCACAGACCCCCAACCTGCTCCCTGCTTTCAGGGGGGGCTCCAGCCTCCCACTCCCATCCCTCCTTCCTGGGGCCTGCCTGCCTGCACCCGTTGCCCCTCTCCTTGCCTACCTATATCTGGGGATGTCCCCCTCCCCAAACCCTGCCAGCCCCTCCCTGGCAGTCCTTCTTTCCCCTGAGACCACCCACACCAGGGAGAGGTGCCCCAGGTGGTGGGGGGCTGAGGGAGAACTCTCTGGGGTGGGGGACACACACACATGGGAGTTTCCTTCACTGCAGCCAGGTCACACTGACACCTCCCCCAGGCATCGCAGAGGGGACAGATGCTGGCAGGCCCCTGCACTGACCGTCACTCTCGGCTCAGGGTGCACCAGGCAGCTGCAGGGGAACATCGCTGGGTCACACCTGCCCAGCCCCTGAACCCACCCCCAGCCCTGCCAGCTCAGCCCGTGCTGTCCTTCACACCATGCCCCCTGCCCACCCTTGCTCCCCAAAACTGGAGAGGTGCTGGCTGGACAGGGGTCCCTGTCCCCCACCCTCTGGAGTGGCTGCCCTCCTACCTGGCACGGCCACGCTGGAGATGGCCTCGGGCTGGCTGAGCGTGTCCACCTTGACGTGCTGGAAGCCCTTGCAGGTGGCACTCTGCAGGTGCCTGTGCCCAGGTGGGAGAGAGTGGGTGACACCCAGCCCCCCCAGAAACACCATCCCAGCCCCCCACAGCACCCAGCTCTGGCAGGGCTGGGCGCCAGCAATCCTGCTCACTTCCCCTTGTGCAGAGCACCCTGCCTTGGCTCAGGACACCGACCCCTCTCATCACCACATCCAAAGGCACTCCCGGCTGGGAGGTGTAGAGACCCACCCCAACCCCCCTGTCCTGTTTACAGGGACAGCCCTAGGACAGACAGACAGCTCCTCAGTCCTGCTGTCAGATGGGACAGAGCTTGGGGCTCAGCTGCTCTAACAGCCCTCCACACCCAAGCCTCCCAAAATGGGCTTGTTCATCCCCTCCCTACCTCTTCCAGTCCTCCTCGGTCTCCCAGAACTCATAGATGATGAAGGTGACCCCATCAGGCAGCTTCACTGCGGTGACACTGGCAGAAACAGGGAGAGGGGGTGAGCCCCCAACGTGAGCCATCCCCCACCCCCCTCTGCAGCCACAGGTGTGCTCTCGGGTGGGCTATTGAGGGGGGACCCAGCCCCAGCAGCCCGGGTAGGGGTAGCCCCCTCACCATCCCAGCACTCCCCAGCCCATGCAAAAGCAGTGTTGGTGGCTGAGTGTGACTGCACCCCAAATCCTGGCTGCTTTCCTCAGTCCTTTGCTTGGTCCCCACTCCATCCCACACCAAGCCCCATCTCCCCAGCCCCCAAGAGGCAGCTGCTGCTGGTACCCACTGGAAGCAGTCCCGCTCCCCGGCCACACTCTTCAGGTACTGCTTCAGGGAGCTGCAGAACTCGCCCAGGTGCTTGTGTGACACCGTCATCTCATTCCTCACCAGGAGCAGGTACTGCAGGGCCCCCAAACACAGCATGTGAGACCACAGGAACACAGTGACCCCCCAGTGTGGCTCTGTGCTGCAGGGGCACCCCAGCACCCATGGGGTACTCGGGCACACTCACCGTGCAGGCCGTGCTCTCGCTGTCCGACAGCCGCTGGTGCAGGTCAAACCACAGCGTCTGGGAAAAGGGCAGCAAGCAGCAGAGGGGGTGTGGATTGCCTGAGGCTGCTGTCCCTCCCTGCTTGGTGGCTCTTTGTCCCCACCATTTGCAATGACTGTGCCCCCTCTTCCACAGGGAACCGGCTCCAAGAGCCACTTGCACCTCCAGTCAGGACCCTTCACAATAGTTCCCTCTGCTCCCATTGCAGCCAACATTCCCAACACCCCATCCTCATCCCTGCCGCAAAACAGCTGGGGCAAGGTCCCTGGGATGCCAGGACAGCCTCACACAAGGAAACACTGGCCCTTACCTTGTCCTCCAACTTGCCAATCAGCTTGGCCAGCCTGTTGATCTGCCCCTCCAGCCCCTCTGCCTTGGTGTCAGGGGAACCTGCACAGAGCCAGGAGACATTGATGGACTGAGGGGCACCTGCAGGCACCCCCTGAGAGCCCTGTGCTCCTGCTGGGCCCTGAGTGCTCCAAGCCACCCCAGGCAGCCAGCACTTACCAGCCTGGAGGCTCTTTCCTTGCTCCCTGGGGACCATCCAGGTGCTGGAAGAGTAGCTGGGGACAGAATTGTCATACCAGGTGTCACTCAGGCCGTGACCATCCTTGCTGGGGTAGTGTCTGCAACCAGAGAGCACACAGGGTGTCAGGACAGCAGAGCTGGCATTCAGAGTGGCATGAGCCAGCCTGGGGAGCCAGTACTGGAGCCTCCTTTCTGGCAGCTCTGCCCATGATGCCAGAGCCCTTGGAGGGGGTCAGAAACAAGGGAATGTCAGTGGGCTGCTTCCAGCAGCCATCACTTTCCTGCTTATGGAACAGCACAGCCCTCCTGGCACCACCAGCAGCCTTCAGGGCCTTTTTCTGTCCTAGACAGACACCTGCAACATGGGGCATTCAGGCCCCTGTGCCCAGCCAGCTGCACCTTACTGGGGCTGGTTTTGCAGTCCAATGCCTTTGGTGGCTTACAGGCAAGAAAAGCTGCTGCCACCCAGACTGCCCATGAGCAGAGGCTGTGTATCCCACTAACAAACTGCAGCTGCTGCTCTCCTGGAGAGTGGAAACACCCACTGTATCATTTCCTCCAGCATGCTTTCTTTGTCTGGGTCTACAAAGCCCATTTGGCCTGAAGGTTTCTCATAGATCCAAAAAACTGTCCTGAAACACTTCCACAGATGGAGCATCCATAATCACCATCCAGCACCAGGTCCTTGGTGCTCCTCCCAGGACCTCATTTATTTGCAAGCCAGAGAACATGAGAGATCTGCCATCCTCACAAGGGTTTGCAGCTGCCATCCACGTGAGTGAGAGGGGAATGGGTCTGGGGAAGAATGACCCTCTCCTTTCTTCTCCACCAACAGGAATCCTGTGCCACAGAGGGAGAGGCTGAGCAGCTCAAAGGATTTCCAGTGTTTCCTTCCAGCAAGAGCAGCTCTGTGCCAGCTGACTGCTGACAGAGGTGCCTGGGAGCCCTGGCTCCTCTTTGTTAGTCAAGCAGCTCCCAGCTGGGGACAACATGCTGAGTGCCCAATGGGCAGCACACCAGCCAGCATCTCCCTGCCCTCCTGTCCCTCCCCTGGCACCTGGCTCCTCCTAAGCACAATTGCTGGGCTCTCCTTCCCCAGATACCTTGTAAATCAGCCAGTGTGGGCTCCACCATATACACAGGGACACGGTGTGCAGGTCCCAAAGAACATCTCCAAGATAAGGAAGCAGGAACAACAATAAAGGGTGGAGGAGCATCCCTTTGCTACAGGCTGTGCAATTATACCACTGCTGGTCCTGGATTATCCCCTGTCAATAGACAGGAAATTAGGCAAAAACAGGCAGAGATTTATTTTAATCAGAATTTAATGAGGTGTCTCCATCTTGGACCTCTGCCTTTGCACTTTGTTCTACAGCCCTTTATTTTTGTGCTTTTTAGGCCACCTCTTTGTCTTCATGTGGATGCAGGAGATAATTTTTTTGTGGGATTTGTTTTTCTTTTTAGCTATTATCTTCATGAGAAAATAACTACAATACTCCCCATTATGATCTGGGCCCACACCTCAGCAAATAAAAGCCAGTAAAGTCTTTCATGGGCTCTAATTGCTCTGCCTGATGTTGGGTTTGTTTCCTCTTCATTGTTTTGCAGGAGCTCCTACTTCTTTTTGTACAAGGTTTGCCACAAAACAAGGAGAAGAAAGGGATGTGAGATGATGAAACCCACAGCATTCCTGCTGGAAAAGCTGGTGAGATGGTGGCAGAGCTGCCCAGGTCTCACTGTGTTCCACAGAGTCTGTCTTAGGAGGGAGCTGGGATTTTCCACTCTCCATGTGTCTCTCTGCCCGCTCATGGCTTTGGGAAGCCAAAACATCCCCCTGCAAGCATTCCAAGAGCTCCTGGTTTGAAGGAACAGCAGGAGAAGGGTTGGTCTGACAAACACACAGGTTTCCATGGCAACCTGTCCTGATTAGAGCTGGTGACAGTGGCACTCTGGGGAGCTGTGTGACACTGACACCGAGGGGGCTGTGCTGAGGTTCTGCCTCTGCTGCTGCCACTCCTATAGCCTAGCCCTGGCAGCACTCGGGAAATCTTGAGACGGTCTCCTCTGTGCTGCCCAAGCTCAGTGGTGTGTGCTGGGCTGCTGGCATGGGGACAGCCCCTCACAGGACAAGGGGACAGAGCTGCCTGTCCTCAGTGCACAAGCGCCCTTTCCCTCTGGATGGTTGTCGCAGACATTTTTTCATAGAAATCCTTTCTTTGGGATTGTGCATCTTCTGCGAAGCAAGGGCCCCAGAAGAAGAATGTAAACAATGATTATCAGCTGCTGTGAAATGCAATAGGATGCACCTGTGATTGGTTCATGTTCCATGTGTTTATAATTAAAGGCCAATCACAGGAGCAAGCTGGGGAGAGAGTCCCTGGACACAACTTTGTTATAGATTCTTTTCTATTCTTATCTTAGCAAGCCTCTGCAACTTCTCTCTTTATTCCTATTAGTATAGTTATAATGTATTATATATCTTATATCAATAAATCCAGCCTTCTGATCAAGAAACAAGATTCTCATCCTTCTCTCACCCCAAGCGACCTCCTCAGGTTGCTGTAATAGATGGTGACACCTGCTGGGTGCTCTGGCAGGAGGGGCAGCATCCCTGGCATGGCAATCTGTCCCTGTGGGCTGTCCCCAGCCCACCTCAGGCTGTGTTTTGCCCTGGGTGGGAGCAGTGATTTGCCCAGAGCTACAGCCCTGTGCACCCAGTGCTGCCCAGCCAGGTGCCAAGTGCTGCCCCTGGTTTGCATCCCCACACACAGCGCTCTTGTTAAGGGTCACCCTGGGGACTGCAGGAGAGGGAGGGACAGGCCAGGACAGAGCGGTGGAGAAAAGCCCCCAGAGTTCAGGAAGCCAGGAAGGGAGGCAAAGAGAAAGGCTCAGCTCCCCTTTGCTGCTGCACAATGTCTGCTGTGTTTCCCCCACCCCACAAAAGCACCCTCCTCCTCCTCCCCTCCCACCCTCCTGCACCAGAGGAGGGCAGGAGTGCTGCAGACCTGGAGGGGTTGGTTTGCTCATCGATGGCATCCACAGCACTCTCCACGGAGCTCAGCAGGGACTGGGTCTGGTTCGCCGTCTCCTTCAGCAGGAAGCGCGTCACAAACTGGTCCACATTGCTGCCACTCTCGTACACCTGCAGGGACACACAGGGAGCACCTGGTGAGTGCCAGGGCAGCACCTGCAGCACCACCAGGGTCCCTGCGCAGTGCGGCCCCTGGCCCACAGCCCTCCCTGGTCCCCTCCCATGTCACCACAGTGTTACCCAAAGCCTGTAGTTTCTCTCTTTAGCATGATCTTACATTACTTTACTGTTGCCTTGCAGCCAGTGCATGTAGGTATGAAAAGTGTGTCCTGTGCTTTGGAGACCCCTGCTCAGAGAGTTCACTCAAGTTAAAGGGGTTTGGAATGATTCACAAGGCTCAACATGCTGTTAGACTAACAGTAGCTCCCTGGTAATACAAATTTTTTCAAGACAAAGAGCATCTAAAAATATTTTAATAGAACAACAGATCTGCCTGAAGCACCCAGGGCCCCTTTCCCAACACAGCCTTGCTGAGCCCTGCCCTGCTCCTCCACCTCATGACAGCCACCAGCACAGATGGGACACTGGCACAACCAAAGGAACACTGGCACAGACTGTCCAACACCGACCAAACCAATCCAGCATTGGTTCAACACCACTCCAACCAGTTCAACACCAGCCCAACCAGACCAAGGCCAGCCCAGTGGCCACTGACCTCCCCAGCTCTGCCTGAAGCCAGCCACTCAGCATCAGAGCTGAAAACATTTGCAGTGAAAAAAAGGTTCCCCAAAACCCAGTCTCAGCAACATCACTTTTTCCCAGACTCTTTCCCGCTCATCAGTGCCTGCTGGGACAGCACATTGCCCAGGCAAAACCCTGCTGGGCACTCTGTCCCTGCGTGCTCACATCTCCCAGCATGGGACTCCTCTGGGAGGAATGACTGAATTTTTGGAGCCATGAGACAGGGGTGGATGTCCTGGCTCCCTGCATTCCATCAGCAATGACCACACTCATGGGACTGGAGTGGTCCCAGCACCGCTGGTGATCTGAGCATGCAGCAGCACAACATGAGCACCCCAAGCTCCCCAAAGCAAATTATCCCTGTTTCATGGTGAAGTTATTAACAAGGGTTATTTCCATGGCAACTGGAGCAGCTCTGTGAGAACCCAGAGGGCCTTCATCCCTGCCTTTATCTCCTGTATTAAATCATAAAAGAAAAATGAACTGATGGAAAAAACCCTTTGGGGAAACTGATCACAGAACTGATTCTCCACCCTGGTTTGGAATGGGAGCATTAGTTTCTTGACGGCTTCTTGAGCATCCAATTAGCAGCATTTAATGACTTCTGTCTGACATAAGAAAACCTGCTCACAGCCACAGTGTTTCTGGGGGAAATGCACCACACAGTGGAGGTGATGGTGATGCTGAAGCTGTGAGAGGATGCGTAGTTAAATGGTGGATTTTTTATTACCTAACCACAGCCTATAATCTTGGTTCAGCTTTAGGAAAAATCAAGCAGGTGATTCCCACATTCATTTAAATCAGTTGAACTCCCTATATGCACGATGGATGGATAGATGGATGGATGGATGGATGGGTGGTGGGTACAAAGCTATTCCAGCCAGTGCAGAGAAAATTGGGGTGTTCGTGAAGATCTGATGCTTTTTGACAGGCCGGTAAGCCAAATAGATCTGAAATCAAAACAACAGGGATTTTATTTCTCCCACTTAACTAACTGGCCATTTGCCAGCCCAGCTGTGAGATTTGCTCTCAGGATCTGAATCAGAAATGCACATGCTTGGAGGTTTTTTAACAGTCCCTCAGGTTTTCCTCTAGCACGTGTCTTCTTCAGGGCTGCAAAAACAAACCATTAAAAAGACCAGCTATAAAGGGATCCTTCCCATTGTCTTACTAAAACATTTGTCAGACTATCCTAGTGAGATTAAATGAGGTTTAGTCTTATTAATTCCACCCTGAAGAGTTATTTCCTCCTTGCTTAGCTTGAGAAGTTAAAATATTTATGGAGATCATGTAATAATTGCTGCTCAATGAAGCTGCTTTGTGCCAGAAACTCTTGCACATCTCCAAGCCTGCTCTTTCCCATCCATCGTTTCCAGACAAGCTCTTTGCTGAACTGCCTGGCCTTGACCTCTGCTGCAGCAAACAGGGGGGCCTGAGTGTTTGCAATGAACAGCACGTGTGAAAACATCATTGAAAGGATGGCCTTGAGATTTCTGTGATGATGGCTCTCAGGAGAGCGTCAGAAACCTCAGGATCTGACAAAGCAGGAAATGAAACAGAGACATTCAAAAATGAGAGAGGAGTGGGGAAAGGACAGCGTGCATTATTGAGGAAATAATGGGGTTGGGTCTCTGGTCTGCTGGCTGAGGTCCAAACCCCAAATCCACCCCCCTCCTCCACACCACAGGCTTTTCATGGGTCTGTAAGGCACCTTCCCACACACCCTGGCAGCCAACACAGGGGCTGCTCAAAGCCCCATCACAGTGCTTCCAGCTTTTGATTTCCACAGGAACCCACCCAAAATCGCCCAAATTCTGGCACAGATTAATGAAAACACCCCTGGGATGTGTTACTTGTGCAAAGCATAACTGGGATTTTGATGCTGTTGGGTGCTTGGATTTGCCAACCAGTGCCAAATTTCCCTCACCAGACACTGCAAATGAATGCTTAAAAATGGGGTCTCATGGCCATGTCCTGGTAGGGACCAAATACTGGGGAATGAGAGTTTTAATGTTGTTGAACATCTCAAAGCCTCTTTGCTGGCATTTTTAAAGGTCACTATTCAGCTCATTAAGACTACAGGATGTAAAATATAGATTATTTTGCACCACCACAGACTTGGAGACCCACTGTGACCTCCCCACACCTTCTCTTTGCCTCACAGGGTTACAACCTGACCAACAAGGCTTCCCAGGGCTGGCTTCCAGCAAGACTGGCCAAATTGGCTGACAATTACCACGCCTGGGGACACTGGTGACTTCTCCAACTGTTAATAACCACAGTCCAAGCACACCCACAGAGTGATGCTGTTTCAGTTGGAAGCCAAAGGCAACTCTGTTTCACCCACACTTTTCCTCCAGTTAAAAAAGCAAAACCCAACAACAAACCTATTGCCATGCCATGTAACACCCATCAAGCCTCACCCAGGATGATGGGGAGGTTATCTTCCACCCACCCAGCCCTTTAAAAACCAGGCATGTGTTGCACTGTAATCTCTGAGTGGCTGATTTAAATTCGTTGCTCATAATTGCCTGTTTGCTTCCAAGAGATATTTTCTTATAATTAAAATAACACTCAGACCTGCCTCTTTCTCCTCTCCCTCCCCCCGACTTTCAAATCCCTTCCAAAGCAGAGCCAAAACTGATTGCCTGGCACATAATCAGTAGGAGAAACCTGAGGAGAACAGGCATTTAAATAGTTGATAAATGAAAGCATTACCATATGAAAGACCCTCAGCCTTCCCGAAACAGCTCTAAAAAACCAAATGAGACACCTGTTCAGATTTAAAAAATGACAACAGCATCATGTGGATTTGAAAACTTTTTGCTGTAAAATCCTCCTCCTGCGAATCTCAATGTTGGACTCTTCTCATCTCATGCTTACCTTGTCTGGTCCTGAAGGTTTCCAGCCATGGGCCCTTCCCAAGCAATTTATCACAGGACTTGTCTGTTCTCACTATCAGAGAACCTCCCTGCTGCCTTGGATCCATCGTTTCTGGTGCAGCCACAGGGATGTGAAGGACAGGTGTCTGCTGGCCCACACAGGGGCTGTGCTGCACTTCCCAAGGCTCACCTGTGGATCCAGAGGCTTCTGGCCCCTTTGCACCCTCACCCAGCAGGCTTGGAACAGGCTTGGGAGTGTGGCCTCCCACTGCTCAACACCCTCCCTATAAATCAGCCTTTTGCTTCACACATGCTCCTAATTAGCTGTGTTTAGTACCCACAAGGCAGCAATTTGATACAGATTTTATTTCAGTTTTCCCAGGAAAGTGCAGATTTTGTTTTCCAAACAGGACCTACTCAAAGGACCCTGCAGATGTAGCAGTGTGGGATGGTCAAGCTGCTGAAGGCTCAGCCTGGCTGTGCCACATGCTCATGCTTTGACTTGCTCCCTCCTTTCAAAGCTGCTCTCAGACTATTTGGCAAGATAACAGCACTGGCACCTTCACCATACAATTTACCTAAATCCCAGGAGCAACAGACCTAAAATGGGAGGGAAGAGGAGGAAAATCATGTCCTGCAGGAGGTCAATGAGAGCTGGAGCCTGGACAGCACAAGCAAGACCTCCAGAGAAGATGCTCTTCCTTTTCAGAGAGAATGGAGGGACATGAACTTGGCAGCAACAGACAAGCAGAAGAGCAGTGAATGAGGATCTTCATCTAAAAATAAGTTCCATGAGAGACCTTAAGATTCATGTTCCTGCCAGTCCCTGCTCCCCACAGTCTGGCAGCCCAGGTGGATCCCCTGCACAGCCCTGCTGAGCTGGCAGGAAAATCGCTCCGGATGGCATCGCACGGAGAAGCAGCTTTGTGGTCTGGAGTCTGAACTGAAAAGCTGGGGAAAATTCAGCTCTTGCAGAACTGAAGAACCACATTTTGTTTTAATTTGTGGTGCAATATTTTCTTAAATCAGCTTCAGAGAAGAGTTTCAGAACTATTTTCTGAGAAGCTAAATGAGCACCTCCTTTCCTTTCAGATTGTTCTTCAACTATAAAGTTCCATAACTTTTCTGGAGATCAGCATCTGGTTTTTGCTATAGAAATTGACACAGAAATTGTTCAGAACTGTATAATTCAAAACACATGGAGAGTTGACTCATCCTTTACCATTTCACTGACCCATCACCATGATTACATCTCTAACTGCACCTTTGGATTGTTTCAGACCTGGCTGTGCTGCACTGCAGTGGCACCCCATGGCCTTCAAACCTTGACCAGAAGTTTTCAGCTGTTGTTCATTTAACCACCTTGAGGCAAGGCCAGAACATGAGGTTTGTGAGAAGCCTTGAGCAGCTCACATTTTCTGGGCTGGGCACAACTCAGAACTGCCAGCACTGTGCTGCTGTTCCACCCTGCCATGGGTCCATACCCTGACATGGCACAGCCCTGCCCCAGGAGCCTGACACCCTCAGTGTGGGCACCAAATCCATCCAGCAGAGCAGGAGAAAACCTGCTCAAGTTAAATGAAAGGCTGAGATAAAAGGTTAGCTGGAGGATGGGAGGAAAATGTTCTTTTTGAGGATTATTTCTAGTGACTATTTTATCTCGAGGTGTCATCTTTCAAAAAAGAGCAACATCACTTTTGGCAAGCTTAAGTGTGGCAGGTAAGAATGCAAATAAGAGCACTTTATATTGCTGATCTGGGCTGTGCTGTAAAACAAAAAATACCATCCCCCATTTTTAGCATCCAAGGCTGCTGGCAGATGGTTCTTGCTCTGGGGCTGTAACTGAGCTGCTCCAACAAGTGCAGTTTGCAGTTTGCTGCTGGGGGCTGAAAACTGGGGGAGACCCATGGTCAGCCTGGCACCAGCAGCAGGGAGAGCACATCTGCTGCAGCAGCTCCACGAGCCCCAGGAGCCCAGCATCTCCTGTTCACTGCAAATACATCTCAAAGGCAGAGACAAGAAGGGTGGATTGCTGCAGGAACAATTTAACTCACAAATAACATGCAAACCTATTCACCTGTATGGAGATACCTCTGGGCTCCCTGCTGCTACTGGAGCAACAGCAGCTGGTATTGAAGGTCACTGCACTCAGCTTTTTATGATTTACCTATTCTCACATCTAAATAATGAGTTTTAAGGGGAAAATGCATTTGCAGCTGCTTTGGGTACAGTGCCAGTTCATAAGACACATATGGTGTTTGGCACTCTGACAGGAGAAGGCTCTCAGGGGATGTGTGCTGTGTCACCACCTGGTCATATTTCCTCTCCAGGTCCATTAAACGAGAGAACTGAGAGACTGGCAGTGAGCAAGCAGGGAGTGAAACACCGTCTTTCACATATCCTCACTCTCTCTCCAGGACCAAAGGTGATGATGAACACCAAGCAGCAGCTGGTCCAGAGCTACCCTCAGATCCTCATGGGTGCTCCATAAACCCTTCCTGCTGTACCCTACTCTTCCCTGCAGCCTGTTCATTCTGGCATGTGCATGGGCAGTTGCAATTTCAGCTCTAATTTTGGGTAGTTTTGCTTTCCAAGCACTCTCCTTCCATCTGGGACAGGGCATGCACCAAGGTCAGTCACCAGACTTGTCTGCTGCCCAACAGGAGCATCCCCAGGAAAAAAATGATTTGACTTTAAATATGAGCTGCTTCATCCTTGAAAATATTCATCACTCAGCATTTTTTTTTGGATTCTTTGCAGCTTGTTTTTAAAGTTTGCTTCACCATTTAAGGTCAGCCTTGCTGATGCTTCCATGGTCAGTCGTGCAAAATGCTTAATTGGCAGAAGCTGGAAGCAGGAGCAATCCCAGTGCAGCTGGCAGTGGAATCTGGACCTGACAGGAACAAGACTAATTGGTCATTCTGTGGATTCTGTGAATTGAGTCTCTCAGGCTCAAAACCCCACACTGTTTTTTTACCAAGCTAAGTCACATTTCCTGGGGTGTGTGGGTGAGGGTGAGCACCACCTCTGCCATGCCCAGGCACTTCCACTGGCACCCCCAAAGCTGACAGGGGTGGTGGAGGCATTGGGTGGGCACTGTGCCCTAAGGCAGGGGACTCACCTGGGGAGGGACAGGGACAGCACCACCCTGGCTGTGCTCTCCCAGCTCCCACCACCCCTCACACCCCCTGACCCTGGCACAATCCACCTCCTTCCCTGTCATGTTGGCTCTGCTCTTTGCTGACTGCACTACACAACAGTAAAAGTGAGTTATAGAGGAACATGTCCTGCTGTCAGCTTTATTTAGAACCCCAAAGTTCATTTCCTTTCTCTCCAATTTGGCTTTGCATTTCCAATTGTCACCGGCAGTGATTTCAGTGCAGCATGGACATCACTGTATTGGAAAATAATTACAATGACAGATTTTGTTTTGCTGTGTGAGACCTTCCACTACTGAATCTAATTACTGCTGATACTTTAAGAGCTCTTCCAGCACGAGATAATTGCTGCTTTTTCTTTTTATAAAGCAAGAAATAATCAGTTGTCTTTTAAGGTGAGGAATATAAACAGCAATTAAATACCATGGTTCCTCATGCCCTCTTGTCAGCTGGCACCTCTCAGAAAGACAACACAGAAAAAGGTGAGGCTTCATTTATTGTTTGCCCCAAATACATTGTTTGAAAAGGAGGGAATAGGAACACTCCTAAATGACCAATAGTTTTCTCCAGCTTAGGAAATGTGTATTTTATTATGGTGAAGCAGGAGCAGCTCACAAGCAAAGCAGTTTGCTCACAACTCACAATGTTCAGCATCATCACCCGGCCCTTTGCAGGATCTGGCCACAAGAAAAGGCCAAAGACAGCAACAGGCTCGAGCACCAGGGGGCACAAAACCAGACTTGACTCTACCAAAACCCTGCTGCTTTGGTCACCTTTCACCTTCTCCAGTGTTTCTAAAAATATCCATTAAATCTTTTAACCATCCTGCTACCCCACCAGCATGGAACCCTTGGTTACAGCATCACATGGGGAGAAGATGGATCAGAAGGAAACCACCCCATCCCTGAAAGTGCCCAGGCCAGGCTGGATGGGGCTTTGTGCTCCACTGGTCTAGTGGAAGGTGTCCCTACTTCCTTCCAAAACAAATGTATCCTGTTTGAACACTGCAGACAGGTTCCTCTACCACCCACAACAGCTTCTTTCCTGTTGGGTTTTTTTTTCCCCTGCTTCTTTACATGAACAAAGTGCCTGCCTTTGAATAATTCATTGATGAGGTTTGTACCACTTTGTTCACAAAATCACAGTGGGGAACAGTGCTTTTCATTAAATACTTCTTTGCCAGCTCCTCTCTGTGATGGAGCCTTGCTCTGCTTGCTCTCTTGTCAAAAATCTTCCAGGTGAAGAGAAGCACAGCCCAGGGGCTGGTGAAATGAGGGGATGGGAGGATCTGGGGCAGCCCTCCCTCACCTGGCCTGGGAAATGTCTGTGCTGTGATCCTTCAGTGACACAGCAGGAAGGTGCTCCAGATCTCCCGGCTCCTCTCCACAAAATCATGATAGGGTGACCAGCTCAGGTTTAGGTAAATAACCTTGACCTGCTGCAATTCAGGCAGGTGAATCCTGCCACAATTTGCTGAATTGAGGAGGGAGAAAGGTGTTCTTCTTATGAATAACCATCCTGCTTCTGCTGCAGATGTCTCATCCAAGGTATAAATCAGACATCTACCCAAATACTTAGATGTCTGATTTATAAGCAGGGAATAGACCATCTTCCTCTAGCAAAGCATTAGGAAGAATTAGACATAGATATTCACATCACTCTGGAAAAGCAGTGGTGGAAGGCACCACGAACAGCAAGCTGGAATGAATTACTAAGATCTCTATTAGCATGTTAACATTTATTTAAAATACATGGTTGGCAAACCTGATGGTCATGAAAATTGCTAATAATGAATATAAATGAGACATGAACAAACATAGAAGCTGAATCATAAAACATTCGTGTTATCCTGATTTTTTTAACCCTTTCATAATATTGATAAAAATCACTAACACTTCAGAAAGGTCAGTGCTTGGCCAAAGACTTCTGCCTTTAATTTATAATGGCAAGTCATCAACATGTTAAATATGTGCCTTCACTTTCCATGCTGCCTTCCTCACAAAAATCAAAATGGATGAATTTTGATCAAGCAAGGAAATCAAGCTCTTTACTCACCAGCAAAAAGGGAGAGAAATTTCCCATTTCCCATTCTAACTCCTGAAACTTCTTATCATTGCCACTTCTTTAATGTGGAGTAATTTGAGTTTCTCTTCTAGCTTCAAAGATAGATGGAAGGGAGATACCCATGTGGATTGCTTGCAGGAGGGCTGTAGTTGGATTGGGAAGTACTTCCAACTGCTTGGAGAAAGCAAAACCTTCTTCCCTGGCTTGGCCCTCAGTGTAATACCTTACTGCTACCAGTGAAGAGGAAAACTGTTTTTTATTCATCATGGCACAAAACAACAATGCAAATGTGGTTGAAGGTGGAAGTAGGAGAAGGGATTGATTATTCTGAGGCAATAAATATCACTGATACAGCCCAGTTGTGCTATTAAGTGGTGTGGAAGGACAGGAAAATAATTTCAAAGGAACTAAAGCTCTATAAACACTTCTCTCAGCCTGGTAAGACAATAAATGAGTGGTGCACCTCTTAGCAGGGATGGTTATATGGTAAATCAGCTCAGATTTTATAGGTATTCATAAATGAACTTCAATATACTTCTTGATCAGTGACTTCTTGTCACTGTCTATAATAGTCCAGTATCACTATCACATGATGGATTTTTTTGCACATATAAACCAGGTCATTATGTCTCAGTTGTGGTTCTTGCATGATTCCTGCGCAGTCCTTCAAGCACACAGCCCTCCAGTTTCTAATACAGCAGCTTCACACATGGCAATGGTATTTGCAAAGCAGGTTGTCTTCCAAGGTGGAAGCTGGATTTCAAGGCAGCTTTGTAATATGAAGTTTCCAAAAGCCCTCTCAGTGATGCTAACAACAACTCATGCCTTCCAAACCCCACCTGAGAGACCCAGAGGCTGTGCTGTCTGCAGAGCAGGAGCACACAGCACTGCTGAAGAGGATGAGGACCTTTCACATTTATGTGCTCTGTTAATGCAAATTTTAGACCACTCACCCTCAGCCTGTGAAAGGTGAGGTGCAGGAAGGAGCACTCACCCGTTTGGTGTAGTCCATGGCCTTCAGGATGGAGAGGTTCAGCATCTCCAGGGAGGCCAAAACATCCTCATAGTCCCCCATATGGTCAGCAAAATAGTCTGGGAAAACCAAGAGAAGCATGATGGGAACACGTTAATGTAACTCGAGCCTACTTGGCACAGCAAGATCTATTACTGGTGGTAGCATTAACCTGACAGGATGGCTCCAGGGGTATTTTTACATTCTATGTCCTCAGTCAAAGTCACAATTTGTCCTGCAGGGATGGGAAGTGGTGTGATTCCCATGAAGCTTGGGACCATTGCAAAAAGGAAATGTAAGACCCAGCAGCTCCCATTGAAAATAACTCCTCAGGTTCTTTATTTCTATGTCTATTTCTGCATTTGATTGTTTATGGTCTCTCTCCCTCCTACTGCTGGCATGGAGGAAGGGGTCTCAAAAGAAATTCCCTTTCCATTCCCTTTCCATTCTTTGCCACTCAAAGCATCCAAATACCTTCCAATTCACCCCAGTTTGTATGAGCTGAGACTGGCCTTACATCTTTCCCTACGCTCCTATCACATTTACACCTCAGCCCACAGTCACAGGTTGAACAAGCTTTTGAGAGCGAAATATGCCTTGAAAGGAAGAGAAGAGAGCTGCAAGCTGGACCCAAAATCACGTGTTCTTCATGGAATGAGCCACACATTCTCTGTGCCATCCTTGTCCTTTCCCTTTTCTGGTGACGGACACAGAGGACAGCCAAAAGCTGTTCCTTAAAAGCCACCAGTGCTGCTCTCAGCCTAGGACAGGGAGTTTCACACTGAGGTGACATCTCTGTGAAGTGCAGCAAGACATAAACTTCAGGAAACAATCCCGCTAATTAGGTTTTCTTGGCTTAATTAGAAGTGCCTATAGCTATTTACAGTCTGAGAACATATCCAAAGGGAAGCAGCTTTTGGCAGAACCGGAATGTCACAGCATGACTGACAGCAGCTGTTCCACGATAAGTAAACAGCTCACTCTCATTGCAGTGGGCTTGTTTGGTTTTCCCTTCCTACTTGGGAAAGAAAAAATGAGCAGATCTGATAGGTAAAGACTTTTTTTAAGTCCTGAAATAAAAATCTGGAGCCATCCATTTCAGGAGAAAGGAGCTGCTGTGGCACAGCCCTTGAGACTGACCAAGGAGCACATGGGAGGAGAACAGAGCTGACTTTAACAAAGCATTCAGCTCTGCTGCTTTAGCATTATTTATTCATGTGAAGCTGCAGGGCTCAAGAAATAACTTTTAAGATGCTCTCAACATTTTATAACACACAACCCATTTCAAGAGAGACACCACAGCTCCCATTTAGACAAACTGAGGGTTTATGTTTAATACTTAGAGCAGAAGCAAGCAAATAAATCACAGGCAAGGGCAGGTATTCAGCAGATAACAGATCTAGGCAGCAGCTTGTGCTGATGGATCCTTTCTCTGGCTTCCCCTTGCTTTCCCAGGAGGTGATGGGTTTATCTCCCTTCTCTCCTGGCAGCTTCACCCCTGGGAGAGGCAGTGAGATGGGATCACACTGGGTGACAGCCATGTAATTTCCTGATTTTATCAGAGTGATGGAGAAAGCTGTGAGGGGTTAAACAATGCCATTGTTACCCCAGAGCTGATTTCTTGGGTCAGCTGGCAGGGAGACCTACTGCAATAGGAATGGAGGGGATGGGATAAGCCCTTCATATCCCCAGAAAACCAAAAAGATTTTGTGGAAGTCTTTGTTTCTTGCCTACCAAGGCAAGGACAAGCAGAAATAACCAGTGGAAAGGGGAAATGTTACTGCTTTTGCTGCCAGCTGGGATGCTCAAAAGGGTGTGGGCAGGGGTTGAGTATACATCAGGAGGAGAGAAACTCTGGACAATGTCCTGGTGCAGGCACACCCATGGACAGAGAAGTGTTTAAGGTATCAGGAATAAGGAGTGACTGCCTGGTGCTGGCACAGGCACCAGTAACCCCATCTCTGCCTGCAAAACCCTCTCCCAGCCAGGCTTCCAAAGGCTGCAGAGTGGTGAAGGTAAATGGTGAAAACCTGCTGAGGTGGCTTCATATGTTCTTCTGTATCCTGGCACAGGAGGGGAGAAGAGATGGATGAGTCTCTGCAAGGCCCCACACCTCTCTTCCCATCTCCTCCCAAAAAGCTGGGGTGCAGGAAGCATTTCCCGATGTCAAGCATCCACAGAAAAATCCACCTGAGGGAGCAGTTTGAGTCACCTCCTAATGAAGCAAAGCCCTTCAGAAATCCCAGCAGGAAACATTCCCTTTCTGGTCAAGGTGTGGGACAAAATATTATCACAGATTTTCTGTTCAGCCTTTAATTTTGGCGAGCTGTGGGAGGTACAGCAGAGGTAGTGCACCCCTCAGGCAGCCTGCAGGGAAACAGGAAGGCTGGCCTGGGGAGAAACATGTTACAGGTCTTGCAGAGGGAGATGAATTATTGAACTTTAGAGTGAAGCTGGAAGCCACAACACCTCCAGAAATTAAACTCCAGCTTGTTATTGAACAGGGTCCATGTGCCTCGCTTAGCTCTGACCCCATTTGTGTTGCACAGAAATGAAAAGGTTCTGCCAATTTTCCTGTGGAACAAGGAGCAGAGCAGCAGCAGCAGGGCTGAGATCCCCAGCTCCACAGCACTGCAATCTCTGCTGGGGTTCATGCAACCTTTGAGGGCCCCCATACACACAATGATTGCTGCTGCCCAAAGGAGGGACTGCACTCACCACACAGCTCCTTGGTGTCCACATTGCTGCAAGAGGGGACAACGAGGCAGGGAGGAAGCAGGAAAAAAGAGAGAGAGAAAGAAAGAAAGAAAGACAACTTTAATGACAAGGACAGATGAAGGCTGCAGTTAGAATTCCCACAGGCTTAACTCCAACAACATCACCCACCCCTTCCGCATCCCCAGCCACCGGTGGGGACAGCCTGTGCAGAAGAGCAGGGTTGGTTCATTCAGGGCATCTTCAGCATGTGTGCAGCTGGAACAGGTTCACAAGTTATTCTGGATGTTCCCTGAGAGGGAAATGGGTACTTGGACATCCCCCCTGAGGAGGGGCCTTTGCCCAGGGGGGACCCAGCACACCTGGCACATCAGCTCCTCTGACTTCCTTACAAACACCCAGCCTGGCAACAGTGAGACACTCACACAGGAATGTGTTTGCTCCCATTTACTCAGAATAAAAATTTGCAAAATATACTTTTCTCAATGGACCAATTCTCCTAATTCTGCCCCTGTGAAGCAGCTCTTGCCTGGGACTGCCTCCAGACAAGATGGCACAATTACTCCTTAACACGGGAACATTTCGTTTACATAACAACATCTCAACAGACAAGCTGCTTAGGAAATGAAGATTGCTGCTAATCTCTTTGTGCCTCCTATTCCCACACAATCATTAGTGCCATTCAAGGACTGGAACGACCCCTTAATAGAATTATATCTTATCCATCCATTTATATCCTGGGAAGTTATTTCTTTACCTAAACTCATCCCTGCTCTGTCTAACCTGCATAAGTGGATCGGGGCTTTCCCTGCCAGCATCCTCCTTCAGCCCTGCCCTGACACCCAGATCAAGGCAAGCACAAATTCCTGGAGCCCAGGAGGTGCTGCCTGGGCCAATCCCTGTTTCCTGCTGAAAAAGGAGGTGGTGGTGCTGAAGCACAGCCTCTTTGGGAAGTGCTGCCTGCCATGGTGAGAAGATGTCACCTCTTGTCTCGGCCCCTCGTGGTGCAGGACACTCCTGCAGGGCTGGTGGCACAGGCTGCAGCTGCCCCTCTCTGCAAAAGGAGCTCCTGCACTAATTTATCTTCATGTCTTGGATACTTATCTTCTTCAAACCCTGGAATTACTTCCCTGAATCCTACAAAGCCCCCTGGCGAGCTGTGGGCTCAGCTTCCCTGGTGTTCTCATGGGCAGATCCGCTGAGCCCACAGATCCAGAGCCCTGAGCACCAGAGCCGCTCCTGACCCCAGGGGCTCTGGCACGGCCCAGCACTTGGCTGCAGGTGATTCCCAACACGGAGCTGCAGCAGTGCAGCCGCAGAGGAGCTCAGGTGAGCCCCAGCAGATGCATTTCCAGCCCTGGCACAACCCTGGCTGATTGTTCCCCAAAGCTCTCTCCAGCACACAGCCTGGGAAGTCAAATGTTGCTTGCAGACACATGAAAAGTATTTTTGACAGCAGCACGACCCACAAAGTGTTTCAATAATATTTTCCAGAAGACAGTTATTGTTTATAAACACCTACTGACGTGGTTGTGGGTTTGCAGATAGGGCATGTTACTGAGAAAAAAAAAAAATCTGTTATTGTATTCCATGTGATTCTGCATTGTAATAATTGATCTGCTGCTGCCAAAATTGGTCTTTTATTTCCTCACATCTTGCCATTGTATGATTTAACTTAATTGTGCTTGAATGTTAATGCAGCTGAGAAGTTGCTTTTAATTTTAAGCCATCTTGCCTTCAGAATAAGGCTAATGAAAGAAATTACTGAAGTCACAAGCTGACTTAATAAAAAAATATGATAATGTTCAGATGAAAAACTGTAAGGAGAAATCAATGGGTACTTGAGCAGGCTGTTTTCATCCCCAGGAGTCTGCCTGCTGGGAACATTGCTGACACAGAGCCACATTCCCACTGCTCTTACATGGGGGCTCTGGCCCAGCTTGGGAGCTGCACAGCAAAAGCCACCACAAAACAATTTATAGGCTCATCTGGGTGTGCAAAACCCAGCCACAAAACAATTTACAGACTGATCTGGTGGTTTCATACTGTACTAAATAAGCCCCACCTGGGTTATGCCAGTAGGGATTTTTATTCTGCAAATATTCAGAGGATCTGGGGTTCAGGGCTGGTGAGATGGGAGCTGGCAGCTCCTGATGAGTTCCCTTGTCATTCCTAACCTTCCATCCCAGAGCTTCCCTTCAGAGCACATTTTTGGAGCAGTCAGGTATCACAAATCCCTTCAGAAGAAAAACATTTACGTGAGCATTAGTTACCACTTTTTTTTTCAGATGCCAAATATTTAACACTCCTGTACACAACAATAAGCTGAAAAGAAAAATCGTGACAAGTTGTTCTCGTGTTTTCAGGAAAATAATTTAAAAAGACTTTCAAGTACCAGAACACTTGGCTGTGAATTAGCTTTCAATTTTTATTACATTAATATGACTAATTCAAGAGCTTATTGAAGCCATAACCCAACTAACTAAGCAGAGTATAATGAAGTTTAAGTAGAAATGAAGGAATAATTAAAGATTTCTGTGTCATACATTTTTTTCTGCATAGTAGGGCCCACATATATCTGATCTTGTTCCAAAACAAAAGTCTTTCTTCCAAAAGAGAAAAAAAAAAAGAAGAAAATCCAAGTATTTTTGAAAATCCAGGCCTTTTCTCTGTTTTCCAGCCAATGAGGCTGCAGCATGGAGCAGCACAAACCTGCATCCCCAGCCTTGCTGGGGTGTGCACCCTGTGAGGTGACTTTCCAAGGCAAAGATGCACTTTGGAGATCCTCCATCTGCATTTGGCACATGATTGCTCCAACAGGAGTAGGAGACAAACACAAGAGCTCAGACTTCAACCCAGATCAGCTTCTGGAAAGGCAGAGCCCAAGCCATGAACTGCTGTGGCCACAAAAAAGGACAATTTATTACCACCATTCCCCCCTTTTTAAAGACCCTGGGATCATTTGGCCAGATAAACAATTGGCAATAGGGAAATTGTTTTCTTTCCTGGTTCACATCAAACTATTTCCAAGAAAAGGAAAAGACCTCTAAGTGTGATGCTCCTCCAGCGTGTGTGGGAGTTTAAAGAGCAAAGGAGGAGTTTAAAGAGCAACGACCATGTTGTGAGAGCATCCCCTCAGTGGGCTTAATTAACTTGTCCAGTAATTACTGATGCATGACTTGTGCAGCAAGAGGCTGCCCAGAGAAATGGCTGTGCCTCCTGCATGCTCCAGAAAGAAAAACATTTCTCCCCACAAAGCCCCACCCAGCATTACATTGTGTTTTGATGAGCACCTGAGCTAATGAGGCTCCCTGGGAAGTCACATCTCTTGCCATGTCCCTGAGTGGGGATTGTCCATGGACAGGGCTTTTATCAGAGCTGTCCTGCACTGACCCTGCTGCTTCTCCATCAGTTCATAGGCTTCTTTATTTCTGTGAATGCCTTGCTTGGAACATGCTGCCATCCTTGGGACTTCATCCCAGGAAGAAGGCACCATCAGACAGAGGAGCTGTTGCATCAGGGTGTCCAAGAGCCCAGGGACTGTGGCACCAGGCTGAGCATCCCAGCAGCCAGACCTCTGTGTGTGTGATGGAACCATGCAGCCTCCTGCTCTTGGCTCAGAACCTCCAGATCATTGGTCCAGATCAGCCTAACATTTTCTTAAAGCAAATCAATGTTTTCCACCAGGAAAAAATACTATTTCTGGAGATTCCCTGCGATGATGATTTGCATTAGGTGTTAATAAGGCAGCCCAGGGGAGCACAGCACAGGAGGGAGCGCCCAGAGAACACCCCATGGCAGAGTCAGGGATGCCCTGGTCCAGTGCTGTGACCTGCAGAGGTTCCTTGCAGCAAACCCAGCCAGAGCTCTGCAATCCAGCCTCTCTCCTTCCCAGCATCTCCCCGCCTCCCTCAGGCAAGGCTGATGGCCTCTGACTTGCTCTCCTTAATATATTTTTCCAGACTTCAGCTGAAGAGAGGAGAGGAAAAGTTATCTCAGAATGAAAGAGATAATGTGGAGGAGAGGAGCATGAAATTTCCTTCCTGGGTTTCAGCTCAGCCACAGGAAAGGTGTCCCAGGCACTCCCAAAGGGCAGTACAATCAGAAACATAACGGGGATTCAGAAGTTGCAAATACATCAAAGTCTCATCCTCACGTTTCTCATGCAAATATCTGCCTGGATGTGCTGCTCAGTGTCCCATCAGCTTCAGCTGAAGATAATAACCCTTTTCCTTGGGCAGATGAAAGGTTTGCATCAGCAGCCACACAGCTTAGTCACTTCACCAGCACAGAAAATGGAAGGGCTTTTTTCCTGAAATCACGTTCTACTTTTATTTCCATCTTTTATTCACAGCTTTGGGTTTGCTACAAGGCTTCAAACGAGCACGGAAACAAATTATCCTCTAGCATTAACCACCTGCAGAACTCATTTTCATTTAGGAAAGACTAAAAAACAACAAGTGCAGCTGGAATGTGTTATTATATCTGATGATAAGGCTTCCAGCCCCATCAGCAGCAGCTCTGTGTTATCTCAACACCTCAGAAGTGGCAAATATGCATCCAGATGCCTACTAAGGGGTCACAGATGGTCACTTCTGATCATTACTTTCTGAGCTCAATGAAACATGTTTAACACAAACCCCAGAGTGAGAGAAATTATTCCAGGCAGAGCAAGAGAAATACCAGATACTGGATGCCAGTCAGGAGCTGAATAATTCTAAAGAATTAAATAACTTTCCAAGCCCATCATTTTATCTTCTGGTGAATCCTGGTAAATCCTTCCCAAGACCTATCCAAATACCTTCCTTATACCCACATGATTGCTGAAGAAAAAAACCCAAACCACTCTTATGGTATTATTTATAAAAGGACTTCCAAAATGTGGTGTGCCACATGCAAAGGAACAGCAGAAACCATATGCCAAATCTGTCCAGAACCAGAGGGACATCCAGCCACCTGCAGCTTCAAATGACACAGGCAGAGAAGGATTCAGAACGTAAATCAGGTTTGGGCTTCATTTCTTTAGCTG